GCAAGCTATTTTCACTTCATTTCCATTGGTCGGGCTGGAATTTTTCCTGGTGCAGCCTCTCCCTTCCCCCTCCCCATGGATACTCCGGCAAGTAGCCACACCCACCCAATAGAAAGAGCAACATTTATTAAGCGCTCACTGTGTACCAGGCCCAGCCCTAGTACACTTGTTGTTGGTTGCCATTGGGTGGACGGGAATTTGTAGCAAGTCCATGTGTGCTGAAGAACTGCTCCATAGGGGTTTCAAGGTCTGTGACCCTTCAGAAGAGATTGCCAGGCCTTTCTTCCTAAGTGCCTCTGCCTTTGAGGTAGTAGCCAAGTGTTGAACCATTTACTCCACCCAGAGATTCCTAGGGAGGCAGCAGTTCCTCATTTTACATCTGGGGAAACTGAGGTACAGAGAGGCCTTGTCCAAGGGCACCAGCTAGAAAAGGACCTGAGAGTTGTTGAACCCAGGTTCTTTGCCCTAACATACACCAACCGCACTGTGCAGTTGTTTGGAAACACATGCTGTGGGGTCGCCCCGGCACTTCCTGGGTCCCTGTCACTGCCACTTTTATCACCGCTGGTGGTGGGGGTAGGAAGTGAGCTCCCCATACTGGCCGGGATGCAAACAAACCCTATGCCAGCCTGGGGCATGGCTAAGTGTCAGCCTGCAGGGAATGTTGACTCTAGGCCCTCCAGGGCCAGCACAGCTGGTTCACTAACACAGAATAGGTGGTCAACAGATGGTTGTTGGATGGATGAAAACCTATTGCTGTGAGCTGACTCACAGAGAACCCTATAGGACAGAACAGAACTGCCTCATAGGGTTTCAAAGGCTGTCATTTGATCAGAGGAGCCCTAGTGGCCCAGTGGTTAAGCACTCAGCTGCTAACCAAAAGGTCAGCAGTCTGAACTCACCAGCCACTCCCATGGAGAAAGATAAGGCAGTCTCCTTCTGTAAATATTTATAGCCTTGGAAACCCTATGGTGCAGTTCTACTCTGTCCTCTAGGGGCGCTGTGAGTTGGAATCCACTCGCCTGCAGTGGGTTGGGTTTCTGATTGGTAATGTTGCCACATCTTTCTCCAAGGAAGCAGCTGGTGGTGGGTTCAAACTGCCGACCTTTCAGTTAGCAGCCACGCCTTAATCACCGCGCCATCTAGCCTCCTTATGGATGGATGGACAGATTCAAAGAAGCAAGGCATCGAGTGGCTCAGACCCCAAATTGGAAGGTCCACAGTTTTAAGTCTGTGGCTATAATATGGCACTATCCCTTCTCAAGCAACTCATCCTTGTTTATTAAGCACCAACTGGATACTTAGCCCTGAGATTTCAGGGGTCATCTCTTTTTAAAAAAATCTTTCCAATAAATCCAACCATCCATCCATTCATGTAACATATATTGAGTACCTACTATGTGTCGGACCCTGAGGACAGTGAGGGAACCAAGACAGACCAAGTCCATGTGGTGGGGAGGACTGGCAGTTTACAAAGAAATAAGAACAAAATAATTTCATGTGTCATAGAGCCTAACAGTGATGGGAGAGTGAAGGGCAGGGCACTCTAGGCTGAGGGCACAGCCCATGCAAAGGCCCTGAGGCAGAACCAGGCCTGGTATGTGGAAGGAACAGCAAGGATGCCTCTGTGGCTGCAGCAGAGTGAACTAGGAGGAGAGAAGAGGAGGGGTGGGCCAGGCAGGTGCAGGGCCCTGGGGTCACAGGGAGACTATTTCATCCTGAAGATTGTGCAGCAAGCAGAGATCAGCCCCCGGGTTTGAACCGGGGTCTGCCAGGTACCAAGACCTATGTTCTTTATCTTCAATAACCACTTAACGCATGCGTATTGAGTCATTTCAACCTCACAAGAGTCCCAAGAGGCAGGTCCTATCCATATCCCATTTTACAGATGGGAAAACTGAGGCCCAGAAAGGTGAATGACTTGCCCAAGGTCACAGAGCTGGGACTTGAAGTCAGGTAGCCTAACCACCCCTCAGGGAGGGGAGACAGGGCAAGGAAGCTGACACAGGACCTCCGTGGACTCTCAGCACCCCACCTGTCTTCCCACCGACTCTTGTAGAAGCACGCCTCAGTTTCTCCATTAGGCTGGAACAAGGCCACACACAGCTCTGGGCTCTGGTACTCTATTTGTATGGAGGGCTTAACTGGGGACAGGAAGGCTGGAAGAGGTACCCGCCAGGGATGGCCTGGCCAGAAGAGGCCCTGGTGGCCTTGGAGGCACAGACCCCCTGGAGTGCTGATGGGAGGCAGGAAGGCAGGGGGCCATGGGTTGTGGAGGGGCCCAGCATGAGCGGCTGATAAGCACCCGCTGACAATGGGGCCTTTCTGTGCGGGGATCACCTAACTGGTTTGCCTCTGGCACCAACTGACCAGGAAGGGGTGATGCGGCGGTGGTGGAGGGCACATGGCCGGGGAGCAGCCAGGCATGACTTGTGTGTTTGTGTGTCATAGAGGTTTTTGCAGCTGGGGAGACAGCTCACTCACATGGCACACTTACAGCTCACACGCACGATTACTCATTCTCACTGAGCGTTTCATGTTCTCACATACACTCGACACGCACACACAGGCATTCTGACTCATACTCACCAGGACATTATCACACTCACACACTTGGAAATTTTCACACTCTGCTTTGGCTTTTTCATAGCCCACATTCAAACGTGACCACACTCACATACACACACTATCACACCTGCACGCTCCCGTGCTTTCACATTCACAATCATGCATTTGGACGTTTTTACATTCACTCAAACACACATCTGACACTATCACACTCATGTGCAAATGCTAGCACACACACACTAGGGTGTTTGCACACTCAACATGACCACACCGTTGGGCATTTTCACACTCAGAGACTGGAACACACACACTCACACTTAGATGTTTTCGCATTCACAACTGTGAATTCACATTTCACATGCAGATGTTTTCACACACACTCACACACTAGACCTTCACATTTATACTCGGTGTTTTCACTTAACTAATCATCAGACGTGTGCACTTGGACATTTTCACACTCATGTACCATCACACTCATGCACTTGGGTGTTTTCACACATATGAGCACAATTGACACACTAAGATTTGTATTCACACTTAGACACTATTGTAGTCACACTCACATGCTATCACACACACTCAGCACCTGCGTACTTGGTCACACATTATCACATTCATACACTTGGATGTTTTCACACTCACACACGCTCACACTCACACACGCTCACATTCCCTTAGGTGTTTCCCCACTCTCACAAACAGACACATCTCGCACACTGACGGAGACCAGGCATGCGTCGACATGCGCACACAGAGCCTCCAAGCACTTCTAGGAGCACGTGTCCATAGATGAGGCACAAGGACACGCAGGAACGAGCGGGAGGAGCCAAGGGCGGGGGGCGGCACAGGTGCCCCCAGCATTTACGCACTAGCCTGAGGTGGACTCTGCACCGCGGCCACACGCTCACACCCCAGCAGTAACACACAGGTGAGCATGCCAACGGGGCCACTGGGCACATGGCAGCAAAGATTTTAGAGAACAGTGAGCGAGAAAGATATGGGGGGTGGAGGGTGGGGTGGAGACAAAGAAGGCAGTGACCTGGGAGGGAACTGCCCACCTCCACCACTGATCCCAGGCTTAGGCCTGCTCCTGCTAGCATCTCAGGTCCCAATCATCCTGCCCAGCTGGGGCCTGGCCTGTGTTCCCCACCCCCAGGCCTGGGGAAAATGTCCAGACCTCAAAGACTCCTCACTACCCAGCCAGGGGGCAGCCTCCCTTCCTTGGGGACCCC